AGCAGTGGGCTTGGTTTGGTTTTCAGACCATGGGGTTCATCACAGGAAGGACAGTAGGGGGCACCCTCGGCACCTTGGCCAACATGGCTTCTGGAATCAGATTCCTAGCTATGCAGTCTCAAGCAAGTGTCTTAGCCTCTTGGAGGCTCAGTTTCCTTATTTGGAAAATGGGGATCATAGGACTTGCCCCCTTAGACTTCTTTGAGAGTTAAGAGAGACAATGCATGCAGAAGTTGTGGTACAGAGCCTGGGACCTAGTGAGGACTCAGTAAATCGAAACAGGCTTGCATCTCCCCCCGCCCCCTCGTCCTCCCTCTCCTGCTCCCCACCACGTGGGGTGGAAACTCTGAGTCCATTCCTCTGCCCTACAGCTGTGTTCCAAAGTGCTGCTCTGCTCCACAGCTGTGTTCCAAAGTGCTGGTCGCTGACCTCTCAGGAGACAGGGCGGATCTTCCCCACCCCTGCAGGGCCCCCTAGGCCCTGGCTGCCAGCTGGCTTATGGCCCCATCGCAGGAGCGAACTGGCCGCCTGGGGAGTGGAAAAACCCCCTAGCCAGGTCAACGCTCTGCCCTCACTGGCTGTGTGACCTTGGGCCAGTCAGTCACCCTCTCTGGGCCTCCTTCCTGTTGCCCATCCAGGGCTGCAGTGAGGAGGGGGTGCACAGAGCAGTGTCAGAGAGCTCTGAGGGTTCCTCCTCCCATGCATGCTGATCACACTTGACAATTTTTAATGCATTTCCTTGCCCATCATCGGCTCTGTGCACATGCACTTCAGGGTGGTTTCAGTTCCATTTGGCAGATGGGGAAACTGAGGCCAGAGAGGCAACACTGTGTGTCCAAGGTGAATCTGGGCTTGTTTGAATCCAGCAGGGAGATCGGGAAGGTGGAGAGGAGATGGAGGGAAGGAAGACGGAGCTGCTGGGAGAGAAAGGAGAGGGCGGGCAAGAAGAAGCAGGAAACAGAGACAGGCGGACAGGTGGACACAGAGACAGGGAGACAGAGTCACAAAGAGATACAGAGAAACGGACAGAGATCAGAACACAGAGATACAAAAGGAGATGTGAAGAGACATAAGAACACTGAGAGACAGACCATGGGAAAGGCCACGTGCCCCGAGGGGCTAAGAGGGGATCTGGGGACCCGAGCAGGGGTTGGGGAGGCCTGGCTGTCTGGGTCCCCATGCCTTTCCCCTCACAGGCTGCACCTGGGCCTCAGTTGCCACAGCAGTGAGAAGCTTCAGCCTTGAGGAACTAGGGTCTACCATCCCCATCCCCTCTTTCCTCCCACCCCCCTCACCCAGCAACAGACTCCAGTGGGTCCTGCCCCACCCCCACACTGAGCCAGGGGTATTTTTAGCTGGGGTTCCTTGGAGATGAGGATTGGGGAGCCCTGATGCAGGCTTGTCTGGCTGGGGAGGGAGGCTCAGACAGGCCGGGTGAAAGTGGGCAGGGTCTGCATGGCTGAGGACAGATGAGACTAGTGTCTGGGCTCCGGCAGGGTGAGAAACAGCTCCCAGGAGGAAGGGAAGAGGGAGATGATGTAGATCAGGGGCACGTGGCTGGGGGAGCCCAGAGCTTTGGCAGATTAGAGGAGGACATGTTGAATGATCAGCACTCCCAAGGAGAAATCTTTCTTCTCCCCATAGCCCTCTTGAACTCAAGCATACTCTATAGCTCCTTATTGCTATCAGCAAGCCCAGGCTCCCCAGAGGAGCCCCCACAATCTGGCCCTGTACCCCTACTTGGGAAAAATCTTAATCCCCACTGTTCGACAAGCAAACCTCCATTCCTGGTGGTCTCCAGAATCTGCTGGGTCCGTTCTCACCTCCACCCCTTTGCACTTGCAGTACCCCTGCCTGGCATGCCCCTCCCTCGCTCACTGGCACTGCGCTCCAGCCCTCCTCACACCTCCAGCCCTTCCCTGAACATGCTGTGCCCTTGCCAGACCCCTTGAAGCTGCACATGCTGTTCCCTCTGCCTGGAACAGCATTTCTGCAGATCTGGCTACCTCCTCGTGGGGTCTTCCCTGACTGCCCCCCTCCCTACCGACCCTACCGCCCTGCCCAGCTGCCTCCACAGCAACCCACTCCCACCCCTGATCACGTACACTTACTCCATTACTTACTAAATATGTCTCCTCCATCAGACTGCTCACTCCCTGAGGACAGAGTACTCGTCTGTTTTGTGCACCTCTGTGAACACACCCCCACAGAACATATCTGGAGAATTAAGACCAGCCATCAAAGCTGAGTAATTCCCAGCCTGCTCTAGAGTAGGGGCTTTTAAAAAATTTGTCTGTGACTAAGGTTCATTTTACCTGACAACCCATTATACACAAGTGGAAATGACGTCAAAGGTTCCTGGAATAATTCTAATCTTTACTATGTAGGATGCATGCCGATATTTTCTATTCTATCCCATTCCATTCCATTCCAAGGAAATGCTGTTTATAACCTTCTGATTTCATAATCTGCTAAATCCTGTTGCCGCTGAGTCAATTCCGACTCATAGTGACCCTATAGGACAAGGTAGAACTGCCCCATAGGGTTTCCAAGGCTGTAATCTTTATGCAAGCAGACTGTCCTATCTTTCTCCCGAGGGGCGGTTAGTGGTTTGAAACGCCAACTCTTTGGTTAGCAGCCGAGCACTTAATCGCTGTGCCACTAGGGCTCCTATCATAATCCACTAGTGGGTCACAACTTGAAGCTTGAAAAAATATTGCCCCAGAGAGAAGGTTCTCAGATTCCCGCTGTGGAGGTCCCTGAAACTGCCCTGGTCCCTCCCACACCCACTCCAGCTTGGTGTCCAACCTTTCCTGTCATTCTGGGGCTCTCAGCCCCCTCTTTTAGGAACCAGGGCCAGGGTGCCATCTACAAGGAACCTCACCTGATACTCCAGCTTCCTGTGCTCACCAGATGGGTGAGTCCCTCTTTCATTTCCCTGGAAGCCTCCCCCAGCCCCCGCCAGGTCCGCCTGAGGCTGGGGTCGCATCTCCCCCTGTTCCATGGTGGCCCCTGAGGGAATGATCTGGAGAAGGGAAGGGTGAGGCAGGCAGGTGGGGTTGCTGCTGTCCTTTCCCTGGAAAATCCCAGCTCCCTTTGCCCCCCTCATACCACCCCTCCTCCCAGATCTGATGCTGGTTCACAAAAGTAGCCCTAATAATGGCCACTGCTGAGGTATTGAGACGTGGAGATGCTGTGTTCACACACACAGCAGCTCCACACAAAAGGGAGTCCTGCCCCCATTTCACAGATAAGAGACTGAGGCTCAGTGAAGGGAAGTGACTCGCCACAGATCACGCAGCTCAGTGGCGGCCGAGAGGAGCCGTGAGAATCTCAAAGGGACAGAAGGCAGCCAGGGCAGCTAGTTAGGGTTCCTTCCCCCCTACCAGGCCTCAGTTTCCCGTGGTGAAAGGAGAGGCCCGCATGTGGTAGCCTCAGAGACTTCATCTAGATCTGACCCTCGCTGGTCTCAGATCATCCTGGTCAAGCCCCCAGCCACACCACGGGATCCGAGCCAAGTTGCCCTCCTCCTGCTCTTCCTGCTCTTGGGCTCCACACCCACACCCAGCTGGTCTTTTCCCTTAGGGTCTGTCCCAGGCTCAAGCTCTTTGCTTCTCCCTCTCATTCCCACTCCTTCATGGCCTGCCCTCTGCTAAGACTGACCCAAGTCTGGACTCCAGGGCTCACTGGGGCCTGTGATGCCTTAACCCAGGGGTTTTCAAACTTGATACGGGCAGGATTCCCTTCCTAATGAAACCCTGCTAGGAAAGCCAATTGGCAAAAGAGATTCCCCAAAGGACTGCTCGGTTAAAACAGCCGAGAGGCTGGCCTGTTTGCTTGACCTCATGTCCTTATCCAACACTACCCCGGGTCACCGCAGGATTCTCTGGAGCCTAGTCTGAAAATAACAGTATTAACCCTCAGTAATGGTGACATAAAGAACCCTGGTGGCACAGTAGTTAAGTGTTTGGCTGCTAACCGAAGGGTTGGTGGTTCGAACCCACCAGCTCCTCCGAGGGAGAAAGATACGGCAATCTGCTTTCTTCCGTAAGGATTACAGCCTTGGAAACACTATGGGGCAGTTCTGCTCTGTCCTATAAGGTCGCTATGAGTTGGAATCGACTCAACAGTAGTGAGTTTGGTTTTTTTTTTTTAATGGTGACATTTCAGGAGGGGCCTATAGGAGAAATACTTTGGACAAGCGGCCAGTACTTGCTAGAGTCACCACATGAGATGGTGGGCACAGATTGGCAGACTGACTCAGAAGCCCTCTAAAAATTCTAAGATCCCACAGCCCAGACTCGGGAAGCCTACAGGTCTGGATGCCAATCCCTGCTTCCTCCCTGGTTGACTCTCCGAAGGCTCCCTACCTCTCCCACCCACCCCATCTGTAATATGGGGATGACAGGGTTGTTTGGAGGATTAAATGAGTTGATGTTCATAAAGAGTTTAGCAAGTAATAACTAACAAACAAACGGCAAATTTGTGCCATTGCTGTTATTTTTATGGCCCCACCACTTTTGAATTGTTACATTCTAGAGGTTATTTGCCCTCTTGCTGCTTCAGTTTCCTCCGCGGTGCAAACAATTAAAGGACTTGGTTGCTAACTGAAAAGTTGGAGGTTCGAGGCCACCCAGAGGCACCTTGGAAGAAAGGCTTGGTGATCTACTTCTGAAAAATTAGTCATTGAAAACCCTTTGGAGCATGGTTCTGCTCTGACAAACACGGGGTCGCCATGAGTTGGAATCAACTCCATGACAACTGGGAATGATGGTGGTACCTACCTCCCAGGGTCGTTGTGCATGGAGATAAATGAACGCGAACACGTTAGGGGGCTTAGTTAACGCTTGGTACAAAGTGAAGAAGACTCAGCAGACGTTATATTACTTATCACGATCATTATTGCCATTCTTCCATCCTGGCCCTAGTGGGCAGACACTCCTGGGCCCGGCCCCTGTCTGCAGGAGGCCCCCGTCCCCCATCCCCGGGGCCCGTCTTACCCTGGAGGGATAGAGGCGCGCGCGCTCACGCTGGTCGTGCGCTGGGGCCCAGGCCGGTTGAGGTTGTTCTGCCCGGCGGTGGGCGCGCTGCCGAGGGCGCTGGGGCTCCGCGGGGGCGCCCTGGGGGGCGGCGCGGGCTCAGTAGGGCCGACAGTGGGCGCGGCCCAGAGCGCTCCGCCGGCTAAGTTGGCGCTGGGGCGCACGGGGAGCGTGCCTGGAAGCCCTCCGGGTGGCGGATGCGGCGGGGCGCCGGGGGGCGCCTTGCGGCGCTGCGAGGCCAGGATGGCATTGGAGGCGGCACGCGTGCTGTTGACCAGCAGGCACTGCTGGCACGAGCAGGGCTGGCCTGAGCTGGCGCCCACGGGCCACGACTGCGACTTGGGGATGGAGCCGACGGTGAGCGGGTAGGCCAGGTCCAGGCGGCGGCGAAGGCGGCGGCGCCGGCGCGTCTGACGGTTCATCTGCGACATGCTGTTGAAGTAGATGAGGTAGCAGAAGCCGAGCGACGAGAGGTCAAGCCACGGGTGCTGCTTCTCGTAGGCGTTCTGGATGGTAATGCAGATGTCCATGTCGTAGGCTGTCCACGCTCCGCCGTCGTTCTCCCACTCCCACACGATGCCCTTGCCCGGCGCCGACGACGGGTCGTAGAAGTTGCGCCGCACGGGCCGCATGGTGCCTGTGGCCACAGAGGGAAAGGACGGGGCGGGGGGTGGGGGTCAGCTACAGACGCTCTCCAGATGGGGGAAGCAGGGAAGGAGCACAGGCCTGGAGAGGAGGGGAGGTTTAGAGGGGTCAGCATAGACCCGAGGGGAGGGGTCAATGCAGGTGGGGAGGGATGGGGGTAAGTACAGGCTAGGGTGAGGGTGAGGAGGAGGCAGGGATGGGGCCAATACAGGTTGGGGAGTGGGAGATTCCACAAAGCAGGTGTCAAACAGGGTGGGGGAGAACATCAACAAGGGAGCAGGGTAGTCAAGTCCCCCCCATTAATGTAATGGACATTGAGGGGAGCCCTGTGCTGGAGGAAGGCAGAGTGGGTGTGGGGTTGTTCAGACAGATGGGGGAGGTCCACAGAGGCCAAGACCATGCAGACAGGTGGCATGCAGCGCTTCCCTTCATTAGTTCATTCATTCATTCAATAATTCATTCATCAGTCTATCCATTCATTAGTTGAGTTTTATTAATTCCAGCACTAGTTCATTTATTCACTCAATAAGTCTTTCATGAGTTCATTCATTTATTCAGGCCTTAGTTCACACATTCATTTGTTCACGCTTTAGTCATTAATTCACATATTCATCAGTTCATTCATTTATTCATGGCTTAGTTCATGCATCCATGTATTCATTAGTCCATTCCTTCACGCCTGCAGTCATATATTACCCTTCCCATTCATACCTGCATTTATGCCTGCTCCCTTGTTAGCTTACTCCTTTATCCATTCATTCAATCCTTCCTGCATTCACAATCATCCCATTTAAAATTATGTACCCCCATATATTTCTCTTTCCTCCTCTCCTCCCCTGCTCTGTTTTCTCCTTCTGATGTACCTTATATTCTACCTCTTTATCTTGTTTCTTGTCTGTCTCCATCACTAAAACGTCACAGTCACAAGGGCAGGAACTTTGTTTTGTTCACTGCTATATCCCCAGAGCCTGCATATAGTAGATGCACAATAGATACTTGAATGAATGAATGAAGGAGTGCACACATTGATCCATTTGGGGTTCGGTTATTCTTATTCCTTCATTCCTTTTGTTCACCCTGCGTCGGTCCATTCCTTCGACCATTTCTGTATTTGTTTTTTCATGCATCTCTCGGTTCACCTGTTCCTTCCTTCAACAAACATTTGCTGCATGCCTGCTCTCTGGCAGGCTCCATGCTAAGTGCTCATTCATAACCCACAGAATAACCATGTGGTAACTGGCCAGGTAGGTATTAGTGCCCCTAGTTTAAAAGCGAGGGCTCTGAAGTTTTCCTCCCAACCACTGCTCTGTGTTTCCCAAAGCTCTAGGTGCTCCCTGAGAGCAGGGCTCCGCAGGAAGCTCTGGGTAACCAGATCAAGGTCCAGGCTGCAGGACTTCTCAGGGCCTTTAGCTGGCTCTGTGCACTGGGACCCGTGTGAAGAGATTCTTTTGCAGGGTTCCTTTGGCACACCTGCAGGACGGCTGCACCCTTGACTGCTCCTCAACTGTGGGCAAGTCCCTTATGTCTCCCTAGCCCTTGGTAGGCTCATCTAGAAAACAGTGGTGACTGGAAGGTTGTATCCCACAGGTCTGCAGCCAGACGGGTGGGGACCTTCACGGTCCTTCCCCAGGACTCCCCCTTGTTCAGGCTTCTCTCTCCTGATCACAAACTGACTATCCCTCATTTGTGTCCCTACCTAGGGTTCAAAGAGCTTTTCCTCTGCCCCCTCCTTTGTTGGGATCCCAGACACTGGGGAAATTGATGCATGGAGCTGTAGCTCCTGATATGAGAGAGGTGACAGGGAGGGGGTTGGTAGCCCAGCCTCAGGAAAGAAGGTCCTCTGGTGGCACAGTGGTTAAAGCACTCAGCTGCTAACCAAAAGTTGGCAGTTCAAACACACCAACTGCTCCACAGGAGAAAGATGTGGCAGTCTGCCTGTGTAAAGATTACAGCCTTGGGAACCCTATGGGTCAGTTCTGCTCTATCCTGTAGGGTTGCTGTGAGTCAGAATTGATTCAACAGGAATACCAAAAAAAAAAAAAAGAAAACCAAAAACCAAAAAACCAAACCCACTGCCATCGAGTCGATTCCGACTCATAGCGACCCTACAGGACTGAGTAGAACTGCCCCATAGAGTTTCCCAGGAGCACCTGGTGGATTTGAACGGCCGACCTTTTGGTTAGCAGCTGTAGCACTTAACCACTACACCGCCAGAGTTTCCTCAACAGCAATAGGTTTGGTTTTTTGGTTTGGGTTCTGTCTTAGTTATCTAGTGCTGCTATAACAGAAATGCCACAAGTGGATGGCTTTAACAAACAAATTTATTCTCTCACAGTCTAGGAGGCTAGAAGTCCGAATTCAGGGTGCCAGCTCCAGGGGAAGTCTTTCTTTCTCTGTTGGCTCTGGGGAAAGTTCCTTGTCATCCATTTTCCCCTGGTCTAGGAGCTTCTCAGCACAGGGATTTGGGGTCCAAAGGATGCACTCCCCTCCTGGCTCTTCATTCTTGGTGGTATGAGGTCCCCCTGTCTCTCTGCTCGCTTCTCTCTTTTATATCTCAAAAGAGATTGACTCAAGACACAACCTAATCTTGTAGATTGAGTTCGGACTCATTAAAATAACTGCCTCTAATCCTGCCTCATTAACATCATAGACTTAGGATTTACAACACATAGGAAAGTCACATCAGATGACAAAATGGTGGACAATTATACAATACTGGGAATCACGGCCTAGCCAAGTTGACACACATTTTTGGGGACACAATTCAATCCATAGCAGGCTCCAGCCAATCATATAAAAACTCCCCCAGGTCTCTGGATGGCCTCACTCAGTTGCCTGATCTATCACTTAAATTGAGTGTGTGGGTATTGATTTCTTCCTTGCTGATGGTGCTTCTTCCAGGGCAGACCTGAGAGGGGATTGTTGCTGTTGTGTGCCATGGAGTTGATTCTGACTCACAGAGACCCTATAGGACAGAGTAGAACTGCCCCATAGGGTTTCCGAAGCTGTAATGTTTACAGGAGCAGATCACCAGGTCTTTTCTCCCGCAGAACAGCTGGTGGGTTCCAACCGCCAACCTTTTGGTTAGCAGCCAAGTGCTTAGCCATTGTGCCACCAGGGTTCCAAGAGAGGATTAGTCAGAGAGAAAACCCTGGATCCTGCTCTGTTCCTAAGTGCTGGTCTTCCCCTCCCGGGGCCTCATTTTCCCCATCGGCAAAATGAGGGGTTGTGATAGATGACGGTCAGTTCTGGCCTGCTGAACTACCACCATTAGCCTCCAAAAGGTGCTACCCAGAAGGTGTAACCCACTAGATGGAAGGGAAGGGACGCCTTATTTAACAACCTCCGTGTGCCAAGTTCTGAGCTGAGCAGGGAGGGTTAGGGGTGGGAGGTATGGAGTAAAATGGTTGAAACAACTAAAGAGTCTCACAGGCCTTGTGCAAATCCCAGCTTCAAGCATAGCTTTAGTGTCCTCATCTGTAAAATGGGACTATTAAAACCCACCCCACAGGATTACTGTAGGACAAATAAAATAATGCATGTCAAAGGTGCTCAGTAGAGCACTTGGCATATAGTAAGTGCTCAACGAATGTTAGCTGGGATGGCTGTTATTGCTACATACGTTATTACCTACACTCACCCCCATCACCCAAGGCCTTGTTCATTTGGTGAACTCCTATTCATCCATCAAAACCCTCCATATGCCCACCTCTTCCAGGAAGGTGGTTCTGTTGCTATAGCTGGTACCTGCAGCTTTTTACTGCGTGTTTATCCTTGCACTGTAATCAAATTAGGTATTTGTTTTTGTTCTTAATCTCCCTCACTGGTCAGTGACTTTCTGGAGGAGAGGGCTGGATCAGATCCATGTCTATATTTCCAGCACCAGGCACAGAGCCTGGCCCAAAGGAGGCACCTGCAACTGAAGTGGACAACCTGCTTGGCACATGTCAGGGCTCAGAGGGAGTGGGAAAGAGGAGGGGCTGGTCTGATGCAGAAAGAGTGGAGTCGAGCAGATGCAGCCCCACCAGAAGGCCAAACCACACCCACACTGGGTCCCTGGGGTGGGGGATTCCAAGGCAAGTGAGGAGCTGGTTCCAGAGGTCAGTACTGGCCAGCTCTCCTGCAAAGGATTCTGGGAGCTCCTCCCACCAGGTCAGGGCCAGCCAGCCCAGGCGTCCCGCTCTCCAGGGCTCTATTTACCAGGTATCGATTTTCCTGCCTGTTTACTAGTAGTTATTAAAGGCTATGTCTCTGGAGTCCTTTTGAAATGAAATTGGAACCTGGAGAGCTGGAATAATTAGGGCAGCTGCCGCCCTCCCTGCTGGGCCCTGCACCCCACAGCGCCCGCTACTGCCCGCCTGCCCATCATCCACCACTCAGGCCCACGCTGGCTGAGGACCAGGCTGAGGGGGGCCGGCTGGTTCCCTGGTGACCTGGCTGGGCTGCGATCTCGAGATTTCCAGACGAGCGGCGGGAGGGCTCCTTCTCCTCCCCAGTGGCCTTGGCCTAGATTTTCGGCCAGAACAATGGGTCTTTAAGATGGGCCTGGAGGTTCTGCAGCCTGGGAGGCATGGCTGGCCTTTCTCTTCGACCTACCCTGCTGTGTGTCCTTGGGCAGGCCACTCCCCTTCGTGGCCTCCAGGATGCCCAGCTGCGCCGGCCACGAGGCTCTGAGTCCCCACGGCCATAGGGACCCGTGTCCAGCACGCATGCTTTTCTGGGTCTGTTTTTGTGTGTCTGCTTTTTTTTTGATCCCTCCTTCAGTTTCCTAAGAATGTTTAGTTGAAAAATTCCAGTCTTGTTCCAGCTGAGCTGAGGGGAAAGGGGCTTTGGGCCAAATGTCAGCTGCAAGGTTGAAGGGCCCCCTGAGATCAGGCACGGGGGCGGCAGGGTGGCTGTAAGCAGAGACGCTCCGTGCCTGGGGCAGAGACAGGGAGGGGGTGTAGGGACACAGAGGGGGAGCGAGAGAGGCAGAGAGAGACAGGCTGGGGC